AGGGTTGCGCGCACACCGGACAAATCGCACTCTCGCCTGCATTTCGCACACTCGACACGCACGCTCTCCGCAGAGGGTTGCGCGCGCATACGACAAATCGCACTCTCGCCTGCATTTCGCGCACTCGACGCGCACGATCTCCGCAGAGGGTTGCATTTTCGGTTGACGCTGTTCGTCCCACCCTCCGCCTTTGAGAGAGAATTTATAAGGTGGGGAAATGTTGTTTTCATTAGGACATCTCCCGTGCAAGTTTTTTAGGACATTTCCCGTGCAAGTTTTCCATACTCACACTTGCATACTTGTGCATACTTGCACTGGGATTGCACTGGGATACTTGCATACTTGCACTTGGATACTTACACTTGCATACTTACCCTTGGATGCTTTTGTTCAAGTGCAAGTGTGGAAGTGTCAGTGTGTAAGTGTAAGTGTCGAAGCGTCAGTGTTCAAGGGATTTTCCGGAAGAACCCTTCGCAATGCTTTCGGGAAAATAAGCAACTGAACAATGCGTTCACTGGTTACCTTTCGCAATGCAAGCTCTGAACGAACCTCTCTCACGCCACCGCGAGCTCGGTACAACAGCGTTCACCAAGTAGCTTCAGGTGACACGCAGCAGCCATTGCCTATATCTTCGCACGCTCTCTCTGCTCAGCTCGCGACTCGCCTGTGTCTACGGAAAAGCTCCCCCGAAAAAAATGTCTAGCTACGTCCAGGTGTACTGTGCGTTTTGTGTTCAGTGTGACGTGTTCAGTCTAGTGTCTCGAGTCCGTGTATCGGTCTCTGTGCGAGTGTCTATATTGTTCAGTGTGACATGTTCAGTCTAGTACGTCGAGTCCGTGTGTGGGTCTCTGTATGTATGTCTATGTTGTTAAGTGTGACGTGTTCAGTCTAGTGTGTCGAGTCCGTCTCTGTGTGTGTGTCTATATTGTTAAGTGTGACGTGTTCAGTCTAGTGTGTCGAGCAACACGCACGATCTACGCAAAAGGCCGCGCGCGCATCGCACCAATCGCACTCTCGCCTGCATTTCGTGTACTCCACGCGCACGTTCTCCGCAGAGGGTTGCGCGCACACCGGACAAATCGCACTCTCGCCTGCATTTCGCGCACACGACACGCACGATCTCCGCAGAGGGTTGCGCGGGCACAGGTCAAATTGCACTCTCGCCTGCATTTCGCGCACTCGACGCGCGCGATCTCCGCAGAGGGTTGCGCGCACACCGGACAAATCTCGCCTGCATTTCGCGCACTCGACACGCACGATCTCCACAGAGGGTTGCGCGCGCACAGACCCAATCGCACTCTCGCCTGCGTTTCGCGCACTCGACACGCACGATCTCCGCAGAGGGTTGCGCGGGCATACATCAAATTGCACTCTCGCCTGCATTTCGCGCACTCGACACGCACGATCTTCGCAGAGGGTTGCATTTTCGGTTGACGCTGATCGTCCGACCCTCCGCCTTTAAGAGAGAATTTATAAAGTGGGGAAATGTTTTTCATTAGGACATCTCCCGTGCAAGTTTTCCATACTCACACTTGCATTACACTTGTGCAAGTTTTCCATACTTGGATACTTGCCGTTGGATGCTTTCACTCTTCCACTTACACTGGGATACGTCTAGAAGCGTAGTCTTCATGTTCTCTTCATGTTCATGTTCAATGTTCAAGTGTAAGTGTGGAAGCGTAAGTGTTCCAGTGTACGTGTCGAAATGTCAAGTGTAGAAGTGTCAGTGTTCAAGAGATTTTCCGGAAGAACCCTTCGCAATGCTTTCGGGAAAAAAGAAAACTTCCTTGGACCCTTGCTGCTTTGCTGTTCGACGGGTCGGCAACCAATGCTGCTGAAGCCCTTTCCTGTGGTCGGGAATTAAGGTCTGCAAACGAGGTGGCTTTCGATTTAGTGTTATAGACATAGATTGGAAAAGTTCATGCTGCATGGCCCTGCATGGCAGTACGTGCCGTTTGTCTCGCTAGAAAATTACATTAGTCCCCAATGGAAAACATCCTGGACAGGTTCGGGAGATGACTCACTTATCATCTCAGATGTACTCCTCATAAGCTACATAAAAAGGATGCGTCATTGCGTCATTTCATCTCATTTCAAACCAAAGTGCAGATCCACGCCATATTCTCCAATGTTGAGGAAATGTTGAACAAAAAGTGAATTCTGTTGCCCGCTCTGCACAGTTTCACGGATTTTGGAAAACTCCTGGCTGCTAACATTCTATTGTTTTATGCTGGGCACTGCAACTAGGCCAATAGAAAGGCCCCCTTTGCATTGTAACAAGGAATAGATTTGGGAAGACTGATCTGCTACAACACAGGACATTTCAAATTGCACCGTGTCTAGCCGAGATTGTGTGTGTGTGTGCAAAGTCATATGGGTGCGAGGTTGACATGAAAAGACCTTTTGCCATCACCTTGAAGAACTGGTTGAGAGGAAGTGAAGCCGACAAATTTCTTCTGATCATATGAAGCTCCACCGCAGGAGAATATATTTGGCCTAAGAAGCCTCACCTACTTCGCACACCAAGGAACATGAGCATGACATCTGACATCTAGTAAGTCTGGCCTCAGCCTCTTGGAACTTTGCCAGCTTCAGAAGGCAAAGAGCCTTGTCTGTGCTGTGGAAAGGCTGGCAGAGCTCTGTGTGTGTGTAAAGTGTAGCGAAGCTATATTTTGTGAGATGTGTTATTTGAGGTAAAAGCATGTAAAAGCAACAAATCCCAAAGGGCTGGCCGGGCTAGCCTGATTAGATGCCAAAGTGGATGCAATGGCATCCACGTAAGCTACCCTGGCTTGCGGTCACCACGGTCGTCGCACTTCGAAACAGCAACCAGCAGCAGCTTTGCAGCTTTGCACCTCTCCAGGCTTCGGAGTGCCAGCGCATACTTCTCCAGCGCTGCCTCCAAGTCTGGTCAAACACGGCGAGTTTGGCGCTGGGCCGTGCAGGCCATGCAGGCCCACCTCAAAGTCTCCGTTTCGGAACTCCTCATTCCCTTGTGCCTCAGAAATACGAAGCCCGATCACAAAGGTGCTAGCTCACCCGATTGACCTTCATGGTTTGACAAAACGACTCATTGCACACTCCAGTTTTCCATGCATGGCCATGTGGACCGTGAGCAAACATTCACAGTCCTGAATTCCAGACATCTTCATGCCTGTGAAGTTGCCACTGTGCGATGTACTGCGACATCTCCTGTACGGGATCTGTACAAGGTTGGCAGTCCCTCCGTGGCACCAGGGCCTGACAAGTCTAACTCTGCCCAACTGTACATGAATCATGAAAAGGGATTTCTGGCTGCTTGTCAAGATCATCGGAAAGTTCCTAGAGGGGCTTTGACCTTCTTGGTTGGTCGCGGGAAAGGCTTGCGAACACCATCCTTGAAGATGACGGGTTTGTAGGTGTCTGGAACGCTCTTGTGCATAACAGGGCTGTTCCGATATCGCTCCACATGAGCTTTGAAACCCTGATGTGGACCGCTCCATCCCACTTGACAAACTTTGGAAGTCGGCAAGGACCAGTTCGAAAAGCCATCGAAGCTACTCCAAGCGTGCTTCACAGCCTCACCATCCACCAAGTTTACAAAGGCGTAGCCCAAGTTCGCATCCCGGCAGAAATCACATGGAAGGTATACAAAGTCGTACAAACCCCCAAGGCCTTGCTCATCAAGCAATTCCAAAAACATATCACGGCTATAATTGTTTGGCAAATTGCGCAGCATAACTGTGGTGCGCTCTTGGCCCTGACCACAATCCTTCCCCTGACTTGCTTTGCCGCATTCTGTGCTTTTAGTTGTTGGCTCAGGGTCGACTGGCTGTTGCTTTTGAACCCGTTCATCGCTGAACTTTCCTGCCTCGTACACTTCTGGCACATCCAACCAGCCTGTCAAAACACTGTCTGACATGACTCTGCGAAGTCTTCTGTAATGGTGCCGCAAGCATTGATCATCGAAATCAATGAATGAGCTCTTGACGATGACATTGCCGTCCTGCACCGCAGGATCAGCCACACTGCTACGTGGGGAAAGTGGTCTCGACGAGCAGGTCTCAATCGTTTCAATGTCACTGGTTTCGACCAAGGTGGTGCTCTCGGCATCACTGTGATTGTCGGACTTCACGAGCATCTTGCTCATCTCCATGTTTGGATCCTAAGAACTCGACACAGGCGAACCCTAAGTGCTATTTCCTGGAAAGAGCTGCGGTTATTGATCGTGGGAACGCAATCCCAGAGAAAATCAAGCAGAAGGGTCAGTAGAGATCAACTTGTCGCATTCATGGGTGCCTTCTATGTAGATTCCATAGATCCCTCAAGACACATTGCATGTTCACTTGCAGCTTTCATGCCTTGAGACGTTCCACTTCTTCACGAATCTCTGGTCCTGGAAGCTGGCGGCGCTCTCAACTTCTCAAGTCAGTCTGAAGGGTGACAGTCTGTACAGTGTGTCTGTTTGGTTGGTCTGTTCTGCAGCCAGTCCTGCATTAGCAGAAGCCTGCCCAGCTTGTGGTAGACATTTGGTTCATCGTAACTCCAAACACACATACATTCTTACATGCGGTTACCAGGATTTAATTCTCCTGTTATGTGTGCAATTCCGATGGTTCCACCCTGACACTAGCAAGTGCTTCAGGCATTCTACTTCGCATGCTTCACACTACGCATGTTGTACATGCACACGAATGCATGTGATTCAAGCAGAATCATAAATTCTCTGCTGTGCAGTTGCATCTTTCGATGAATCAGAACCTTCCCTGTAGGGAAGTCGCACAGCGAGCGATTTTAGTCACAAAAAAATCATTGAACACTGCTAGAGTATACTACTTTGCCGCAGTCCATGAACATAGCTAAATCACTGTGGACTCTGTCGAAGAGTGGGATCCAAGGTCAGTGAACTTCCTGTCTTTCTCCACTTAATCCCGCTGCCTGAGAGACAGCTTCACCCTCCAGCATGGCTCCAAGGCGACCAGAGGCATCGGTTGTCAATGTAGAATGCAACTAGTAGCGTCTTTGCTCCTAGTAGTACGGCCAGGAGCCCCTAGTAGCGTCCTTGCTCCTAGTAGCGATGCCCTTTGCTCCTAGTAGCTTCTTGCTCCTAGTAGCAAAATGGCTTTCAATAAGGTAAAGATCCTTCTCCCAAAGCAGCAAATGTCCACATATGTCCACATGTGATGGTTCGTCTTCGCTATGGCAGTCCCTTCCTTGACCTTAACTTGTGGCATTCCAGAACACCTCCGGGTGGATGCGCACTTGACACAAGGCGGTGCCAGAAGACGTTTGGAAAGTGGCCCAAGACCATCCCTTGGCATCAACAAATGCACGTGTCGACAGTCCTAAGCTCCATGGCTGGATCAGGACTATCCTGACAAAAAGACAAACGTCAAGGTCAACGTCAAGATCCAATTGAGTAGTTGATCGGCATTCGTGTGTATTCGAATTGTGTTCATCTTCCATTCCGTAGTGTTCTTGCCTCGCCAGTCCCATTCGAAGTCGTCATTGCAAATGGGTTTTGGAGAGTGTCACCAGCCTGAGTGTTTCAGTTATTCCTTGACATGTCTAGTTGAAGACCAGAACATCTGCAGTTTGTCACTCAAAGCATGCTCTGCCTCGACGAGGTTCGGATTAATTCCTCCTGTACCACCAAGAAGCCAAGAAGCTATGAGACACCTGTCTTTCTCGACATCGCTCATGTGCAATCGTACAAAGAAGCCCGGTCAAGCTGGAGAGAGTCTTCAGCCACAGATGTTTTTCATTTCAGAGTTCACTGGTCTCCTGAAAGCTTCTGGCTGCATAGCTTGGCCTCCTGTTCTCAGAAACACCAAATTCTCTTGTGTCATGACAGGCTTATGATATATATATATATATACACATGTGTGTGTGTGTTCAGGCTGAAAACATCCTGCATTAATTTTGTTGAATCCGAAGAAGTGGATTCTTCAACGTGGCCTGCTTTCGTACAAGTAAATGTTATGCTCGTCTTCTGTGCAACCCCTGCCGAATTGTCGAAGCTTTGATGTTCACACGCACGCTTTTTGCTTGAGTGACTACCCATAGTGTTCAGCGCACGGCTGATATATATGAGATTATATAAGGCTTCTAGAGTTGCCCGACTATGCATGTGAAAGCATCCAGGGCACCCAAGGCTAACGCAGCGTACGTCAAGAGTGGAGAAGTTCCACCCCCTGCAGGTATTGGACATGACGTACAGCATGGCATACATGGCATATATTTGGCGAACAAGTCGGGACAAATCTTTGAAAACAATTTTCAACGGAACGGAACCTGTAACAACCCGTTGGCATTGGAGGTGCGAAACAGGATGTTTAGAATATAGGATCGTTGAAAGGAGCTCTTGATGCAGCGAACAGAAGAGCAAGAAGGGCATGGGCTTGTCCGCCAATGTGAACGTGTAGTAAACTCTACAAATGCAAACCCTAGTTCCCTTTGCTTGCCAGGGTCTTATGCCGCTCCTTTGCTATCTTTCAGTTCTGTATTGTTCATCCATTAGGTTTAGATTCAATCCATGTCACAAGTCGAGAGCTTTATCGCGTGGGCGTAACGGTACAGCCAATGAAGAGGTTGCTAGAAGAAAGTAGATCAATGACCTCAAAGTGTTGTCGCCCCCTGTCATGGTCCATCCCATCATGTCTTGAGACAAGCAGGCAGTTTCTCTGACCTTTTCACTGGCCATCGGCCACACTCGTCTACACGCTGGCTTCTTGACAGGCAGGAGCCCACTAGCTTTCATCCGTGCGTGTCGTTTGCCGGCACAAGCGTCATCAACTTTGTCAACGGTCAAGTACCGCATCTTCAAATTGTTGGCATTTGCTGCGTCTTAATGTAAACATCACCCAACTCCTTCTCTTTCCACTATTATACAAATTTGATGGAGCTTGTCATTATTGAGTACTGAAAGAGCAAAGCCAGCCATTCTTCGTACTTGCATTTCTTGGAAATGCAATCCAACGAGATGCACTGAAGTAAGCACTGCACTAGGGCTGTGCAGGACTCTTATCTTTGTGACCGAATTCATGTCCTCCCAAAGGGATAAACAATTTTACTTCCAATGAGCAGGGAAAGAGAGGATTGGCTCCCCCCTGCGCAACCAGAAGGTCAATGGGCTTGAATTACGTGCATGTTCGCAAGCAAATGTACACCTCTTTCACTTCTGCCGCTGATCATTCATGCCCCCCCTTATGCCACAAGCATTCGACATGCAGCAGCTTCTTGAAGACGAGTTCTTGGCGCTAAACTCAGTCGCTTGCACAGGGCCTTTCATCGGATATCCTCCCGCTGCAGCTGCTTTTGCATCTTTTGCATCAAGCCTTAAAGTTTGGAGCTTGAGAGAAAGTGAGGTGCCACAGGCTAAGAAAGAGAGAGAGAGAGATATATATATATACAAAAAGAGAGGCACTTAGGTTTGTGTCCATGATTCGGAAGCTCCTCCGAAATGAAATGTGACAAAATAAAATAAGAAGCTTGGGAACGACACCGATGTACATGAAAAAAAAAACATTGATCTATATAGATGTGTATATACAGTATATTATACTGTATAAGTTATAAGTGGTGTAGCTGTCTCTATCCCTCTCTCTCTCTCTCTTTAAGGTCGACACGCAGCCCTATGTTTGGCATACTGCCTCAGAAGCAGCCAGCTTTGAGCTTTGGAGCTGTCTCAACGCTGAAGGTATATAGTGCTCTTCAATCACATATATAAAAGAAAGTGCTTTCTGTGGCAAGAACTTGTCAAGTTCAATGTAGAAGCGATCATCTTGTTGCAAGTCTGCCAGACTGTACTGCCTCTCCAAATTCATGTCTCTTTAACACCAAGGACTCATTTCGTGCTCTCATTGTCAAACGCTTTGGTGATATCCGACAATGGGGCGTCCATCTCATATTAAACTTAAGACCAATCTCGACGCCTGCACCATTGGAGAACCTTTGCGTTGATGGCGTCTTCTCCATAGCCCATTTCCTTCAATGACCTTTGTGGGTCAGTGCTCCAAAGGGGAAGTACTCTGAATGACCCATTAAGGCTTGCACTGCAGAACACGATCATCCCCTGAGAACACGTGTCATCTCTGGGTCGTATTTCTATCATTGATGCGGTGTCAAAGGCAGGCCTTTGCTTTGTGTTCTGTGTGCTTCTTGCCTTACTCAGACACAAGTGACAAAAGACTTCACAAATACTTCCTGTCTCCCAATGTCCCCAGTCCAGTGAAGCAATTGCTGGGGAGGTGGCAGGTCTGCCTGGTGCAATTTCAAGGAAGTCTTAGAACATACATCATCTACAAGCAAGGGCCTTCCCAAACCAATTTTGCCCGACACTGTTCAGGCTGCCTCAACATGAATCGTCCTAGTATTCATTGCAGCTTCTGTTCAACAGATTGAAACATCATCTTTCTATGATTGAAGAGTCGCACTTTGAGGGCTTGACTAATCCATTCATCGGCCGTCGCTCGCAAAGCGTCCGTGACGTTGGCCAAGATGTCTGGCGTTCGCGGAGCCTTGCAGAGACTCGGCGCTCGCAGCTCCGCGCAGCAAGATGGTTTGGTTTGTTTCATTTATTGTGTGTGTGTGTTTTTTTTAGATCTTCAAACACAAGAAAAGAACCTGATAGCGATGACCTCTAACCTACTAGCGATTGCCTCCAACCTAATAGCAAGATACCAACAAAAACTCCAGCTGAAGGCCTCGTAGCGAATCTCCTTAGAACATGTTGGGCCGTGATTCTCAGAATTGACCAAAAATGGAGGCTATAACTGCTTGGTTGCAAGCAAAAGAGCTGTCTTTTGGGTTGAAGAATGCCAAGTTCAGTTCGCGCCTCCACTGGAGATGGCTCATCTGGCATGCCAGATCGGGCTTGCCTCCGAATTCTCCCAGACATGGTAGATTTCAGATTTTTGCCAGAAAAGAAGGAAGAGCTTTTTGCTGCTTCATGAATTTCCCATGGATAGATAGATACAGCTCAGCAAAAGTAGCTCTTGATGTTGTTTTGGCTCTGAGCAACTAAGGAAAACAATACCTTTGCAGATTGATACCCTGCAGAGTATTGGTAAATAATGGTAAATATTATATATATATGGTTTTTTTGACCGAAGCGACAAAGACAAATTTGAACATAATGCCATAATGCTCTATAAAAGGGCGCTTGAAAAATTTAAGTGTTTGGTAAGCACCTTTGGTTGGTCTCTTAACTGTAGGTGTGACAGCACACACGCGCCTCCGAAGATGAGTAATGAACGAGTGCCAGTCCATTCGCTCACCTCCCGTCTCTGACCTGAAGTCTCACCGAGAGCCGTTTTCAGCACCGACTCACCAAATCGCTCCACAGCGTGACCGGTCTTGGGAAACCCCACGCTCGACCAGTAATTTGCAAGAAAATGGCTTGCGCAGCCTGTTGTCATTGGGAAGAAAGCATGAAGAAACTTGAATGAAAAAGCACCAGAGCAGAATGTGAAGCCTCTTTGGCATTGCGATGGCCCTCACAGCACATTGCACACGCGTCACGTCTGAAGGGGAACCTATGCCAGCAAAAGCTGCCGATGCCTCCGGAAGCAGAGATCGAACATCTTGGAGAGATAGAAGTCCATCAGTGTCCTACGAGTACCAAGGTTGAAGTAGTTTCAACTCCTCTCCACCTCTCCACAATGTGGCACAAGCTTGCTTGCAGCATCAGAAGTGGAAAGGACTCTCCTTGTCCGCATTGTGGAAGATCATTTGAATGCAGGGCTCAATCTTTGGGTTACCCAAGTCTATGCAAGCCTCAAAGGAGATCGTCGATCTCAAGCATTTCTCCACCAAAATGCTGAAATGAAATGCCTTGGGCAAGACTAGGCAAGGAACCGCTACAAACTCGGTCCAGTCCTCAGGCGGATCTTTTACGAAGCACTGCGCTCACAAAGTCAAAAGTGAAAGGCTGCTTGTCAGTTCGCATCAAAGAAATACCAAAATTCAGCTGGGTCCAGGACCACTGCATTTTTATTCTGGCTCAAATTCATGGCAGCTGCAGCGCCTCAAACTTCATGCAAGTCAAACATGGTCCAAGATTGAATTTTGCTGGTACAAGAAAGACAAGGCCCTGACGCTTGGCTTGTTGCTCGTCATAACCACAGCTGACAAACTTCCGGACCTTGTGTCGGCGATTGTCAGGGTGGAACTGGCCTTCTCACATGCTCACCTCTACAAAGAAAACATCGTTCCTTTTCCCACGAAAGGGAAGCGTCCTAAGGCCAAAACCAAGATAGACTCCTGCAACATTCCTGTGCCTTCGTCATCAAACCTGATTGCACAAGCTCTCTTCTCCAAACAAAGAACAGCATGCCTTTCCGATTTCTTGGGCAGCAGCTCTTTGAAAACACCCTTGAAGGAAGGCATTTCGTTTGGAGGCCACTCCTGGTTTCACGCGGCTCTAGGATGTCAAACGGATGGGACATGTGGTCACCCCGAGCAGCCTGTGCTATCTTCAGGCATATGAGCTTGTAGAATGCCTCATTGCAACTCGATCCGTTTTAGTGCCTTGTTTAGTGCTTTGCCGGTACATAAAAATACAATAATGATAGAAACTAGAAACATAATAATAACAATAATGATATTAATAACAATAATAATACTGCCCATAGCTAAGCACGCTCCTGGGTACGTATTGACATTGCTGCTTCTCAGGACTGCCTTCTTGTAATGCTGATGATGCCAACATGCTGATGTGCATTACATGTTCAGTTATCATCATTGAAGTTCAAACTGCTGAGTCCAAGATGCATCCCGCTCGCACGTCGTGACCAACCGGTTGACCAATTTCAACCCTTTCTCCTGCAACGGTTTGTTTTGTCGGTGAAAGCAGCGCAATGTTGAGTAGTGTTGCTCAACGAACTTCAATCTGCGTGTCCATCTGCGTCACCGGAATGGCAGTGGAAGCCTTGCTGCATGATGCATAAACCGGCACAAACCAATCAATCCGCTGTCACTTTATGTCACTTATCATGTTCTTTGCCGACCTACTTGATTCAGTAGGCGCCTACTTAATTAAGCAAGGGAGTAAGCTACTAGCCACTAGTTCGCTCCTAGGAACAGGACGAAGGATAGCTCACACACAAATGATTTGGTTCCTACTAGCGTGGCACTGGTTTCTACTAGTTTCTTGTTACTACTAGTA